AAATCTGGTGCAATAGAAACTCCCAGGAAACTACAAGGCTGACCACAGTTAAAGGATCTAGATCCTGTACTGGCCATTTTCTATAATCAGGTGGGGCTTCAAATGGAGGGACTGAGAGACCAACTCAGCAACAAAACCTTAACCTTACAAGTAGTCCTGCCTACAAAAAGAGGTGGAGGAAATGTCTCACAATCTGTGTGAGAGGCCAACTGTGGTGGTTTGGGAAAAAATGGCTCCCAAAGGGAGTGGCACTATTAGGAGGAATGGCCTTATTGGTGGAAGTGCTTCATTGTGCAGATGGAGAGTGAGAAGAATATGCTGTTTCTATGTGAAATGAAAAAAAATATTTTAAAAATATGTTCATGGATCTATATAAATAAATAATATGCTGTCAATATAAGAATCTATATAAAAAAGGCAGTTGAAGGACAAAAGCCATATGGCAGCATCCTCTGAAGAGTTGTTAACATCGCTTCTGAACAGATGTTTTCCATTGTATCTACCATTGTCTAACTTTCTAAGGATTATATATTGCTTTTATGTTTTGTTTTTAAAGGAAGATGAAGCAGAGAATGTTACTCATGTATCCTATTATTATACATTTGTTTTGGTCAAAAAAAATGCACAGTTCAATTTCTTGAGCTTTCACCCTTCCCATTATTACTTCATTTACCCAAAGTGTAAGGGAAACTAAATGTTTTCAGGCTCTTGTATTGATGCTAAGAGCAAATGATGGCATAGCATAAAACTTGGTCTCTAGGATTCACAGAGAAAGGGACTGAAATTTAGTATGTGATTACTTCAGACCAGAATTAGACCTTAAATCATGAGTTCGATTTCATAAATTGTAAATTTTAGGTCAGATATAGAACAATTATGCATGCTTTTATGCACGGTAAAATTAATAGCATTTTGGGAATAGAAATAGCTAACAGACGGTAAAATAGTGGTCCAGGAAGAGAAAGCAGCAAAATGGGTTGAAACAGAGATTTAATGATGTCAAGATTACAAAAGTTTCAATATAAAACTTTAATGTAAATAAATACCAGTCGTAAGTTCTTTTAAATCTGCTCAATCAAGAATAAAATGGGAATGATGAGGTAGAAATACATGTTGTAAAAATGTAGAAACAGAACAGGGGGAAGCTTTGCTTTCTGTCTGGAGCAGAAACACCTCCTGACCACTGGCTTTCCCCAATGACACTAGGGAACCATTCTAGTCACTATTACAGCTCTGTGCAAGAGAATGAGTTCTTATGCTGTCCCTTGACACCTAAGCAAAATCCAACTGAATAGAGAAAAATCACTGATTCAACCCACTGATGGGAAATTCATTAGTTAGGTCTCACCCTCCATTCCTATCAGTATGCAAGACCAAGAACATGAACACCAGTCTGAAGACACTTCAACTCCCTACCTCAGAAAGAGGTGCCTCAGGACAGTTACATGGTGTCAGCACACTCAACCCAATCCACAGAAAACAAGCAACATTTCAAACATTAAGAATAAAACGAAAGATGTAGAGATTCATGCCCTTAATTCTAGCACTCCATGGGCAGAAACAGGAGTGGCTCCAAATTCAAGGCAAACCTGGTCAACACAGCAAGTTCCTGGACAAGCAAAGCTACACACACAAAAACCCTGTCTCTAAGAAACAAACAAATCAATAACTAGATAGTCAAAATGAGAGAACCAGAAATTATTTAAGAAACCAGTCAGTAGAACTTCCAGGATATAGGGGAATTACTCACTGTGTCAGCCTTAGACCCTGAGCTCTCTAAACAACCTACTGTAGAAAAATTATCTTACAGCTGTTAACTAATCATCATACATTCAGCACAAAATTGGGTGTGCCTGTGTCTGCTTGTGCATGCTCTCTCTCTGTATACCTGTCTCTCAAACACACACACACACACACACACACACACACACACACACACACACATTGGTTTTGAACCTTAAAATTAGTCAGTGGACAAAAGAAAATCCTGAAATTCATCATTAGACAATATCCTGTCTTTCTTTCAAGTATAAAACATATTTAAGGTTTTAAAATGTATTGCTTTATTTTGGGTCATGTATATCTAACTAAAAGTAGTAGGGTGCATACTTTGTAAGATACTAAAATCAGACAATCCACAAATGTTGGCTAGGCAGTGGTGGTGCATGCCTGTAATCCCTGCACTTGGGAGGCAGAGGCAGGCAGATTAAATGAGCTTGAGACCAGCTTTATGAACAAGAGCTAGTTCCAGGACAGCCTCCAAAGCCAAAGAAAAACCCTGTCCCATGTCTCAAAATAAATAATTAAATAAATAAATAGAATGAAAGGAAAAGAAAAAAGAAAAATGTGCTCTCTGGGCTTGGGCTTAGGTTCCAGCTACATGGCTAAACGCGCCAAGATGGTCGGGATCATCGGGAAATACAGGACCCGCTATGGTGCCTCCCTGCGGAAAATGGTGAAGAAAATTGAAATCAGCCAGCACGCCAAGTACACTTGCTCCTTCTGTAGCAAGACCATGATGAAGAGATGAGCAGTTGGCATCTGGCACTGTGGTTCCTGCATGAATACAGTTGCAGGTGGGGCCTGGACGTACAACACTACTTCTGCAGTGACAGTGAAGTCTGCCATCTGAAGGAACTGAAAGACCAGTAGAAATGCTATTGCTTAAGAACCCCTACTTATAATAAATGGGTTAAATTACGTAAAAAAAAAAAAGAAAGAAAAAGAAAAAGAAAAATATTTTATGTTATTTTATGTTGTTTTGTAATTTTTAGTTTTTTTTTTCAGTAATTTATGTATGCAAGTATTTTGTGTACTTGCATGCCTCTGGACTATATATACTCACAACCATGAACTACATACATGTATAGAACATTACATACATGCTGGTACATATCATGCATGCTGTATAATATGGGCAAGCATATTGTACATAGCATTGCATGCATGCCTGTGCTCTACATGCATGCTTAGTGTACTACGTGTATGCCTTTTGCAACAATGAATTCCTGGTACACTACAGGCATGCCTGGTGCACTTCATGAATATCTGTGCACTACATGTATGGGTAAGCACCACATACATACATTGTGAAATTGTAGGCAAAAGAGGCCATTGGATTTCCTGGGGTTGGAACTGCCATGTGGATGTTAGGAACCAAGACCATATCCTCTTATCTGCACTAGATTCCAGTCTTAACTAATGAGTCACCATCAGTCCAGCCCCCCACAAACTTCTCTTTTGAAGGACTAATTTTTTGCACAGGTGAAAAGACTAATTTAGTGGAAAACGTTTATGGGAAACTGGCTGGTTTCAGTAATACCAAAGACAAACAATGCTTTAAATCAATTAAAATTCATTTGATTAAACATACAGTTACCTTTACTTTTGCCTAAAATCATGGTGAACACATTTCTGGAATAAAGAAACAGCTTTTTGAGTTTAAGGTACATCAATTATGAGATTGCCTGTATAAAACTTCCACAATTATGGATGACATAATCAAAGTAAAATACATTATGCATAATAAAATGAAGTGGAAACAATTCACTCATAAGATTCATATTTAAATCATCTTTTCTACAAACTACTATCCTGACAATATGTTTCCATTAAGCTGCAATTTGAGCAACAATATAATCACATAAGTAACAAAAGTGATCTTGAACTGAAAATGAGAAGAAATGACCGCCATAGAAATGGTCAGGTCTCCTCTGTTTGTGGAGATTCTGGGGCAGATTGTTTGGAAGGCAGAATCAAGACTGGAGAGAGTTCATTTCTACTTCTCAAAAGAGAGGGTGGGGAGAAGAACTCAGAAGTTGGGAGAAGGGAAAGTGGAAAGCCCCAAAGTTTGTACATATTCTACCCTGTTGCAAGAGATGAGTAAAGGACAGTGGAGGTTGAAATCCTGTATGGCACACATGGTAAACCATACTGGTAAACAAAACTCACACCACAATATTTGATCTTACAAATAATCTTGATATTTAAAGTGGACTTCTTACCTACATGGGATTCATAAGAACAACACCAACAATTTCAGGTGTCTTTGTGCTGTCTTAGCAGCTATTCTTGATCGCAATACACTCAAGACATATTGTAGAACAGATTTCAATGTAGTAAAACTTTCAAGAGTAACATTGAAATCAGTGATCCTGGCATGATATCCTAAATAAATTTTCTGTGATGACAAGAACAACTACAAAACTTCTGAAAGAAAATACATGTCATACTCTTGGAAGGTTAAGAATAGATATGAGGGAAGAGAACAGGCAGGGATAACTAAGCTGGTTCTTCTCTATTACTTTAAAACATGATTTTAGTTTTAGTAGAAACTTCTGATTCCAAAGGGGAAAGTATGCTGTAAAAGCAATAAATAACTTTTATTTTAAAATGTAAGTGTAAGAAGAAATTTCAATGAATTCAGCAAATAATTAATATGATGTTAGATTTTAAATATGATAATGTGGGAAGAACTACCTAGAAGAAATACTTTTAAACACTTTAGCCAGTAATCTTAAGACAAAATATAAATAATTAATGTAAATGTTAACCTCAGTACACATTTATATAAAATGGTATATGCATAATTTTGGCCTGAAACCTGCTTGTAGCTAGGTATTGGTGGCACAGGCATTTAATCCCAAAACTGGAAAGCAGAGTCAGGTGGATCTCTGTGAGTTCAAGCTTAGCCTCGTCTACAGAGTGATTTCCAGGACAGGCTCAAAAGCTATAGAAAAACCATGCCTTGAGGAGAAAAAAAGTGCTTGTAAATTTGCTGATCTTCTGAACTATCACAGTACATTTAAAATTCAAAATTCCCTAAGGTAGTTCAAGGTGAATCCTTGACTTCTTTGCTGCTGGACTGTTACCTGTGAGCCATGACAACCCTTTCTCCCTCAAGTTGATTCTGGCCAGTTTTTCTCATTGTAACAGGAACCAAACTTGAAGGAACACACAGATACATATTTATTCATATAAGGGCATTTTAAAAAGCCTACCTGACTTTGGAGGAAACCTTGGGCCTGCAAATCCCTTTGATGGGACATACTGTCGAGCATCTGGAGGAGGTGGTGGTGGATTCTGGCCTCTTGGATTCTTTGGAATGGCAGGGCGTCCATGATCTCTAGGAAAAAGGCCAAGTAACATATAAAGGCAGACCTATCAAAATTACACCTGACTTCTCCATGGAAACCCTCAAGGCCAGACGATCCCGGTTAGATCTTCTAAAAGTATTAAGAAAACAGTAGGCTACTATATCCAGCAAAACTCTCAATCACTATAGATGGAAAAAACAAGATATTTAATGACAAAATCAGATTTTCCCAATATGTATCTACAAATCCAGCCCTACAGAAAGTATTGGAAGGAAAACTCCAACCCAAGGAAAGTAACTATGCCCACAAAAATGTAGGCAACAGATAATCCAACTACACCAGAAACCAAGGGTGAAGCAGAACTAATATATTCACAATACCACTGCCAACAACAAACCTAGATCAAACAAGCATCAACAATCAATGGTCCTTACCATCAACAATAATGGTCTTAACTCACCTATAAAAAGACACAGGTTAACAGAATGGATATGAAGATAGAATCCATCCTTCTGCTGCATACAAGAAACACATCTAACCTTCAAAGATAGACATTACCTCATGGTAAAGTGTTGGGAAAAGATTTTCCAATCAAATGGAAATAAGAAGCAAGCAGGCATAGCTATCCTATTATCTAACAAGTTAGACTTCAAACCAAAATTAGTCAAAAGAGATGAAGATGGTCATTTCATATTCATCGCAGGAGAAATCCATCAACACAAAGTCTCAGTTCTGAACATCTATGCCCCTAATACAAAGTCACCCACATTCGTAAAAGAAACACTACTAAAACTCAAAGCTCATATAAAACCTCACACACTTATAGTGGGGGACTTTAATACACCACTCTGAACACTAGACAGGACCACAAATCAGAAACTCAACAAAGAAACAACAGAATTAACAGAAGTTATGTCTCAACTGGGGTTTACAGATATCTAAAGAACATTCCATCCAAAGACAAAAGAATGTGCCTTCTTCTCTGCTCCACATGGAACCTTCTCTAAAATTGACCACATACTAGGTGACATAAGAAACCTCAACAGATACAAGAGAATAGGAATAGTCCCCTGTATCTTATGAGACCACCGTGCTTTAAAATTGGAATTCAACAACAACACAAATAGCAGAAAACCTGCAAACTCAGGGAAACTGAACAATGTGCAATTGCACCACTCCTGGGTTAAAGAAGAAATAAAGAAAGAAATTAAAGTCTTTCTAATATTCAACGAGAATGAGGATACAACATACCCGAACTTATGGGACACCTTGAAAGCAGTGCTACGAGGGAAGTTCATTGCACTAAGTGCCCATATGAAGAAAACAGACAATAGTCACATAAGAGAATTAACAGCCCAACTGAAAACCTTAGAACAGAGAGAAGCAAATTCACCCAGCAGGAGTAGATGCCAGGAAATAATCAACTCGAGGGCTGAAATCAACAAAATAGAAACCAAGAAAACAATACAAAAAAATCAATGCAACAAAGAGTTGGTTTTTTGAGAAAATCAACAAGATAGACAAACCTTTATCCAAATTAACAAAAAAGCAGAGACAGAACATGCAAATTAACAAAATCAGAAACGAAGTGGGGAACATAACAATAGACACAGAGGAAATCCAGACAATTTTCAGGTCATACTATGAAAATCTGTATTCCACAAAATTTGAAAATTCAAAGGAAATGGACAAGTTTCTGGATAACTATCACTTACCAAAATTAAACCAAAAACAGACAAACAGCTTAAATAGACCTATAACCCACAATGAAATAGAAGCAGTCATCGAAATCCTTCCAACCGGAAAAAGCCCAGGGCCAGATGGATTCAGGGCAGAATTCTACCAGACATTCAAGGAAGAACTAATACCAAACTGTTCCACAAGATAGAAACAGAAGGTTCCTTGCCAAAGTCTTTTTTATGAGGCCACAATAACTTTGGTACCCAAACCTCACAAAGACACACCTAAGAAAGAAAACTACAGACCAATATCCCTGATGAACATCGATGCAAAAATACTCAACAAAATACTGGCAAACCGAATTCAAGAATACATCAGAGAAATCATCCACCATGATCAAGTAGGCTTCATACCTGGAATGCAGGGATGGTTTAACATATGACATTTATCAATGTGATACACCTTATAAACAAACAGAAAAAGAAAAACCATATGATTATCTCCCTGGATGCAGAAAAAGCCTTCGACAAAATTCAGCACCCTTTCATGATAAAGGTCTTGGAGAGGTCAGGGATAACAGGAACATACATAACATAAGAGCAATATACAGCAAACCAACTGCCAACATCAAACTGAATGGAGAGAAACTTAAGCCAATTCCTCTAAAATCAGGAACAAGGCAAAACTGCTTGCGTCTCCATATCTGCTCAATATCGTACTAGAATTTCTAGCTAATGCCATAAGACAACAAAAAGAGTTCAAGGGGATCCAAATTGGAAAGGAAGAAGTCAAACTGTCTCTATTTGCAGATGATATGATAGTTTAAATAAGTGACCCAATAAACTCTACCAGGGAACTCCTACAGTTGATAAACACCTTCAGCAAACTAGCAGGATACAAGATAAACTCAAAAAAATCAGTAGCCCTGCTTTTTTCAGATGACAAAGAGACAGAAAAAGAAATCAGAGAAACATCACCCTTTACAATAGCCACAAGCAACATAACGTATATTGGTGTAATGCTTACCAAACAAGTAAAAGACCTATATAATAAGAACTTTGTGACTAAAGAAAGAAATAAAAGAAGATACCAGAAAATGGAAAGATCTTCCATGCTCATGAGTAGGTAGGATAAACATAGTAAAAATGGCGATCTTACCAAAAGCAATCTACAGATTCAATGCAATCCCCATTAAAATCCCACCACAATTCTTCAGCGATCTTGAAAGGATGATAATCAAATTTATATGGAGACAAAAGACCCAGGATAGCCAAAACAACCCTATACAATTAAAGAACTTAAGGAGGCATCACCATTCATGACTTTAAACTCTACTACAGAGATATAGTTATGAAAAAAGCCTGGTATTGGCATAAAAATAGACAGGTAGACCAATGGAATCGAATTGAAAATCCTCATATTAACCCACATACTTTCAACACCTGATTTTCGACAAAACAGCAAAAATTATGCAACGGGGTGAGGACAGCATCTTCAACAAATGATGCTGGCACAATTGGATGAGGGTATGTAGAAGACTGCAGATAGACCAATGTCTGTTGCCATGCACAAAACTCAAGTCCAAATGGAGCAAAGACCTCAACATTAATCCAGCCACATTGAACCTCTTAGAAGTGAAAGTAGGAGGTACCTTTGAACAAATTGGTATAGGATACCGCTTCCTGAACATAACTCCAGGGGCACAGACACTGAGACAAACAATTAATAAATGGGAACTCTTCAAACTTAGAAGGTTCTGTAAGGCAAAGGACACAGTCGACAAGACCAAACGGAAGCTCACAGACTGGGTAAAGGTTTTCACCAATCCTATATCCGAAAAAGGGCAGATCTCCAAAATATACAAAGAACTCAAGAAACTAGTCAACAAAACACCAAATAACCCTATTAAAAAAATGGGATACAGAACTGAAGAAAGAATTCTCAACAGAGGAAATCAAAAAGGCTAAAAGACAGTTAAGAAAATGCTCCACATCCTTAGCTATCAGGGAAATGCAAATCTAAACAACTTTGAGATACCAACTTACCCCTGCCAGAATGGCTAAAATTAGAATCACCAGTGATGACTTATGTTGGAGAGGATGTGGAGAAAGTGGAACACTCCTCCACTGCTGGTGGGAGTGCAAATTCATACAGCCATTTTGGAGATCAGTATGGCGGTTCCTCAGGAAAAGGGATATTGGTTTACCACAGGACCCGGCAATCCCCCTCTTAGGCATATACCTAAAGGATTCACATCCATGCAACAAGGTCATCTGCTCAACTGTGTTCATAGCGGCACTATTTGTAATAGGAAGAACCTGGAAGCAACCTAGATGCCCCTCAATTGAAGAATGATTAATGAAGATGTGGCACATCTACACAATGGAATACTACTCTGCAGAAAAAAATAATGGTATCTTGAATTCTCAGGCAAGTGGATATCATTTGAAGAAACCATCCTGAATGAGGTAACCCAGTCACAAAAAAGAGGGACACAGTATGTACTCACTCATATATGGACTTTAGACCTAGATCAAAGGATCACCAGCCTACAATTCACATCACCAGAGGAACTAGGATACAAGGTGTATTCTAAGAGATTCATATAAAGTCCCTCACAGAACTGGGAAGGGACAATTCTACCAGAGCTCAGGTGAAGTGGGGGGGGCAGCAAATGGAAAGAGAAGTAGGAGAAAATGAGGGGGAAGAAAGGAAAACACGTGCGACCAGGAAGATTGAGCCTGTTTAGGAATAGAAGATAGGAAAGAGAGAGACAGAGACAGAGACAGAGAGAGAGATCATAAAAGAAGGAGCCAATATTGGTTTGAAGATAAAATTGAACACAAAGAAAGGTCTAGAGAACTACAAGACTGCCACCAACTAACAATTTGAGCTTCCTTGGAAAGGCTATCATACATGCCCTTCCCGGAGAGTGAGATCAACAACTACCTTCTCCATGGAGCCCTCAACTAATGCCTGTTGAAAACAGGATCAAACACCCATACATAAACACTGAGTCGAACTAGAACCCAGATGCAGATGGAGAGGACAAGACCATGAGGCAGAAACACATAGAGACAGCTTACCTGAACAAGGTGGAGATAACGGCCACTACACTGATAGCTGGGAAGCCAGCATGGGACTGACTCAGGACCCCCTGAATATGGGTCTCAGCCAGAAGGACTGAGCAGTCTAAGAGACCTCAGACAGTGGAGCCAGGATGTATCCCTGGTGCACAAAAGGACATTGCGAACATATCCCCCATGGAGGGATAACTGCCTTAATCTAGAGACAGGAGAGAAGCCCTAGTCCCTACTTCACATGACCTGTCAGATCTACATGACTCCAA